AAGGTTGGCAGGAGCTGGGACGGAGCAACAGGAACTCACCCCGTTGTGCAGATTCAAACCGGCGACCTTTCGATCTACCAGCCCAGCAGCACAGCAGTTTAAACCACTGCGCCACCTGCAGTCCCGCTAAGTAGGTGATAAATAAAAGTGGCAATAGTACACATCCTTGTTTTACTCCAGATATTATTGCCAAGGGTTCTGATATTCCTTATTTTGTTCCAATAACACTTCTGCACTTGCTATATAAGCTTTTGCATACTCACTTGCGATGTTCACTTACTCTGTATTGGGTCAGTGTTTGCCACAGCAATTTCTTATCAAATCTATCAAATGCAGTCAATTCTGCATTCCTTATTTTCTAGCATGAAAATTTTAACATGTATTATGTAGGCACTTAGGAATGTATCCAATGTTGTTCTAATTTAAATCCCATTAAATTCAATGGGTGCACGGTAACTGTGGATATAATCCTTAGTTTTTGCCAAAATATATGTTTGAAATGTCAGAAATTAATATGATACTGCCATGACAAATGAGCAATAGCTTTGCCATAATATGGCTGCTAAAAGCCTGACACTGTAGGAACAGCTTTAGATTTAAGATGGGATTCTTGATCAGATCAGGAATCCATCTTACAAGTGTTACTACCTATTTATATCTCAGAAATGATAATATCCCTGTCCTGAAAAGTCTTCCTTTGGGGGCACACTTTGGACATATGACTATTTCCCTGCCCTGAGGGTTCTCTCTGTGTTGTCTTAACCACTACTGTACTCCAATTGGAAGGTTCTAAAATAGCCTGTTTGAGATCCATAGGAAGGAGAAAGGAAGACAAGATGAACAGATATGAAAGACAATAGTAGGGTTTTTTAAAATTGTGAGGGATATAAAAGAGGGGAAAGGGGGTTTACGAAGCAGAAAGGGGTGTAGTGAATGCAAGCAAAAAGTTTGGATAAAAAGATTGGTTACCTGACCCTGGCCACTGCCTGCAAAATATTTTGGGAGGTGGTACAAGTACTGAATGAGCTGTATTTTCCAGAGGGAAAACAAAAGGAAAAACATGAAAGCTTCTAAAAACTGAAATTGTCTTATACAGCAGGCGTCCTGGTTCCTACACATGTTTGTACCCGAATCCCCATCTTCAACCATGAGAAGAGTATTATAACTAGAAGTATCTCTTCAGCATGGTAATCCAACCTTTGTGGACAGCAAAGCTGAGTTTATGGACATTAATGTGAGTAAGTCAAGGAGAAGTCATGATACTGCTCACCCCATGCAGATAAGCTTACAAGTAGATGGTTCTTTATCAGCCTGGCCATAAAAGTGAATTATCTGCCCATCCTTTCCCTCATGCTCAGAGAGTAGGCTTTTGCCTTTCAGCTTCGGCTAATGTCACCATACCATGTATCTAGAAAAGTCAAGCAAAAGAACACCAAGTTGTATCTCAGCTGGACAAGGCATTTGGCCACTCAGAGGCCTTTTCCCTCTTCTGGATATTGAAGACGACTTCATTCCAGATATAGTAGTGGTTTGCTAAATCCTGCACTACATTTGTGATTCAATGGGACATGCTCCTCCAAGACCACCCAGAGCTGCCTAGTTCAGAGGCAAGAGCAACAGTGTCCCAACCAACACCTGCTCAGAAGACCTGCCCCAACCTGATGATTGAACAGTCAACTCTCAGAGAAGCATGACAGATCTGTGCTGTGATTGTCAATTGGAGTTGGAGCCACTTTGCACATATATATCTTCAATGAATGAGTAGGTTGGGAAGAAAAAGCACCCTGACATTATCAAAGAAGCTCTTCTGATCTGTGTTTGTGCCCTTTCTAATGTTTTGTATGCTTGTGTAACACAGTCTAAATGCATAAATTTCCTGTTCCCAAAATCAAATCTCAAAGGTGCTGTGGAGATAAAGGTGCTAGTAAGTCTTTGGTTGTGTTTACTGCTGACACAATGTAGAGAAACATAAAGATGTGGCTGAAGGGAACAGATAATGTTTTTATGTAGGGATGCAGGAGAAGTTTGATCTCTTGTAGAGCATAGCAGAGGAAAGAAAAGTTTTCTGCAGTTCTGCCAAAATGTTGGGCAGTTTGCGAGAACAGAAAGAAGCTTGTTAGTCACCTAAACTGGAGGGAGACTCAGGCAAAGAATAAATACACTCTGGCCACAAAGTGGGCCAAGAGGGAAAAAAAACTCCTGCCATTGGGGCAATTGACCAATGAGGAAAAAGCTGGTGACACAACTGACACTGTTTCGGCTGCACAGCCAGCGAGGCGAAGTGCCACTGCCTGCTGGAGGTCTGAGGGATGAGAGAGAAGACAGGAAAATACAGGCCCAGAGAAAACCAAGTTGTCTTGCACCAGGTAATTTTAACCCCAATACATGGTTAAAATTCTCAGGTATTAAGAGTCATGGTAACCCTCCTAAATGATCTGCAACATTTAACTGACAACTTTAAGATGAGCTATTGTATGATCCCTTTTCAATTTACTGGCAGATCTTTAAAGTGGAAGAAAAAAATCCATTGTTTTTCAGATGAATTTTTCTTCTAAATGAAGCTAAGAGAAGCCTTAGCATCAGTTTCCTTTGATATGTGGTTCCATTAAAACAGGCTCTGCAGGAGCACATACCTGGATTACAGGTAGTGCAGTCTTTAAACCCAAGACAAGAGCAAACTGCATATCCTGCTAAAGTGCAAACAAGGAAAAAGATGATAAAGTTGGTTACAAGTTTTGCCATATCACTAAAAATGATAAAGTTGGTAACAGGTTTTGTCATATCTTTGCACTCCTATTGTAAGCAATGAACCCATATTAAGGTCAGGCATTATGGCTATATAGACCAGGCAGACTATGAAAAGGACAGCCTGCGGCGTAACTGTTCCTTCTGAGCATGCAGAGTATGTCTCTCACAGCCATTAAAAGCAGCCCCATTTGTACAAGACTGACAAAAGACTTGAGAGAACTCAGTTGTAGTGTGCAAAGCTATGGTACAATCCCTGGAACAGATCAGATGTTGTTCTGGCCACTAAAATGTTTCTACCTGGAAGCAGCCTATTTAAAGGCTATAAAGGGTTTTTTTCCCCAAATGAAATGTCTGTGACTATCCAGCAATAACCAGTGGCAAAGCAGGAAAATAACTCAACAATGTGGCTTACTTGTCTGGCTTGCTGGGGTAGGGACAAGCTAGTATTCCTAGTTTGTTACGTCATTGTGCTGTTTAGTTGTTCCCACTTACATTCACTTGTTCACAACAACTCAGGGATTTAGAAAACATGCAAACTGGGTCATTATCTTCTAATTCAAGGACAGCACATCCAAGGATTATTTAGCTGCTCTCACTTGCAGCAGGAGCAATCACCAGCATGATCCCATCTTTATATAACCCAGTTCTTTAAAAAATTTGAGTTGTTTTAATTTGCAAGCGAGCAAATAAAACAACTTCACAGATAAGAAGCAAGTGAAGAGTCTTTCTCTCTCTCCAATGTTCTCCAAAGAAAAGAGTACCAAAGAATGTGAAATCCAAAATGTTGCTTCTTGTTATGTGCTGTCAAGTTGTCTCTGACTTATAGCAACTCAATGAATGAAAGTCCTCCCAAATGTCCTCTCCATGACAGCCCTGCTCAATTCTTATAAATTAAAGGCTGCGTCTTTCTTTATGTTACTTACAAAGTCACAGAGGTTGATTCTGGAATTGTGAACAAAGTGATATCTTGTAACGTCTATATTTGCTAAACAGTGAGGGTGAAGTTCTTTAAATAGCCTGAAACATTTGTATAGCATTCCCTTTCATTCCCTTGCAGCATGAGCAACTAGACCACTTCTTGACTAGTCTTGAATCTGTAACTAACGTCATTTTAGAGGCTCCATCAAATCTGCACCCAGCATTTCCCATAAACACTAGAAAAATTATATATATGTTAATTTGGAGGGGGTGTTTAATCACCTGATGGTGTCTATAAAATAATTTTAATGTGGTGAATTCAAGCCTACCAGTGTTAGGTAGTAATAAATCTGGTAGTCTTTGAAGATGCTGCAAAACCCTTTCTGGATTGATTGACTGGTTGTTGGTTGTTTGGTTTTAGTGTTTTGTTGAAACAGACTATCATATAGTCTGTACCATGGCTAGCATGTAGGAATTTATATATATAAATAACTCATCAGAGACCACATATCACAGACACCCTAGATGGTATTCTTATTTCACCTATTGTCGCCTCAAAAGCAACACTGAGCATGTTGACACATCATGATAAACCAGCCTAAAATTAAGTCACACTGGGTTGGTTGGTCATTCACTCACTTTGTAGACTTTTCCAACAAGCCACACATAAACTAGCCTGCCAGGGTAACACATCATGGCAAGCCCTCTGAAAACAAGCTGCCTTGAACAACCCAACGAGAAGCCATGTGTCTTCTGGGTAGTTTGTGCATGAGAAAACTACACAGGATTCAGATATCACAACAAGCAACCCTGAAATAAACAAGTGTTGCAACCAGCCATGAGTTGTCATGTTTTATGAATCAGGTCATTTGGTTGCCAGTAATCAAGCAATGTATAGTCAAATCATGTACGTTAATATATGAAAAAAGATGGGTGATGTCATTTAATGATTTGGTAAATAGAAAGCATTTTGTTAGCTATTCCAAAATGCTAACAAGCAAGTAAAATACTTATTATATAAGATACATCAGCAATGTACATCAGCAAAGTTTAGCCAGATACTTTACAAATATTATACCTAAAGAGGAATTAAATATCACAGGGTGGAATTCAACTAGTTTCCTTAAACTGGAAGAAGGCTTTTTGTCAGAGAGGAGCATGATCTCAGTTATTCCTGTGTCTCTCCTGCTGAGCTCCCACCCATCTGCTGTGAATTCCACATCCTTCTCCGTCAGGCTGATGGAAGACTTCAGAGATTAGGAAGAAAGGAAACTAGTTGGATTCAACTACACCCATTATTTGTAGAAGTAATTAAACATCTTATGTTCACTTACTGCTATTTCTCTACATGCCGACATGGATATCCCTGTACCTTCAATCTGCTTCAGTGCATATTCCTTTTCATCTTTTCTGCAAGAAGAAAACAGTGAATTTGGAGGTCTTATTCACATTAAAATATATAAAAGTACATACACAGGTTTTAGATGTTTTAGGATTTTTCCCTTCACAGTTGTACTTTCTTTCCCCCCCCTCCTTTTTCTTAAGTTCATGATGTGTTTTATATTGTTTTAATTATTGATGTTTTATATTGTACTTTTATATTGTGTAAGCCATCTTGAGCACTTGTCAATAGGATGGAATATAAATGCTGTAATAAATAAATTAATTGATTAATTAAATTTGAAACTGAATGGCCAATTCACACAACAACTGGACAATACTTGGAACTATAATGATCCATCAAACTTCCCTTTGCATATCTGGTCAACTATTAACCAGGAAACAATAAAACTGCAGACTATAAGCTGGGGAAATACCTGATTTTGAAATGATAGCTTTCAAAATACTTTAAAAAGCAGGAGGAATGAAATGTTTTATTTTGAGGAAATGCAGAGATTCAGTCTCTGGCATCTCCAGATTTAAAAAAGAGGGTCAGGAAGCAGGTAATAGAAGGACCTTGGAGATTCTGGAAAGCAACTACTGACCAAAGTAAACAATCCTGGGATAATTAAATGAATAGCCTGACCTAGCATAAGGCAACCTTTGTAAGAACAATAATTCTGAGGACAGTATTTGTTAATTGCTTCCAAAAGTTCCAGAACTACCAAGCATACTTATCCCTGCAATGTGAAGGCAAAACCTTGCCTTTTCCTGCTCCTTTTTTGCTTTATATTCCTACATCTTTTGAATCAAGTGACATAAAACCAATCCAGGAAAAATCACTAAAATGTGCAACAGTTGAGACCTTTCTCTCAATTCATGCAAGCCTTCCATTTTCAGATGTCCATGAAATGTGAAAGTGAAAATTCTGCTATTAGAATGGATCTGACAATGATTGGAGAAAAAAGATGAGTATGCCAATATATTTAGATTATTTATATCCAGCTCCATTTCACAGTGTTAAACAAATAGGGGCTCGTGGTATCTAATCTTTTTCTACAGTAACTTTGGACATTTGCAGCCTGGTTCTGCCCATGTTTACTCACAAGCAAGCTCCAGTGAATTTATGAGTCTCACTCTCAAATATACATACAACTGCAGCTTGTAACTATACATAATCAACTATGCAACTCTCTCTCATCATTATAAAGTATAAGTGAATATTCAGAGTCACTGCCACTCTTTTATTAAGCTGACAAATTGTTCCTTTTATGAGCATTATTTTAAAAACCTAACATTTAATCCATTTATACAAAATCCTATCTTTCTTTATAGTTTTTAAATCTAGAAAATAAAAACCTTCCTTTCAACTAACTTTTTTCCTTACTTTTTTGAATGCAAAACTTAAGAACAATACACATTCTTTAAACATCAAGTGGCAGCAAGAACAATGCATCTACTACAAGCAAGCAGAAAGACTACAAAAGCATAGCAGATTAAATCAAATTGGCCAAAATATGTTCACATAATTAACCATCATACTCTATGCTTCTGAAATTTTATTCTGTTTAGATATTGGATTTTAATACATGTTTAACTACAGCCTTTTAATCCCATATAATTCTTCACTTTTGGTCTATATTTTTCCCCACTGTTTTGTATAAACTAATCTGGTTGCTCCTAGCAGATACAGTATTGTTTGCACAAAATTGTCAGTACTGCATTTTAAACACAATTAAAGCACATGTAAATAACAGCTGAATTACAATATTACCTTATATAAAAACTTTGTGAATAAAATAATCTTTAGAAATTTGACAGTGCCAACACCACATTTATTGTTATTGGTTTTATATTGTGTTCTTTACTGTTTTGGCTGTGTTTTTATTATTGTGAAATTGTTACTGGTTTTATTTTCTTGTGATATTGGGTTTTGTTTTATATTTTAAGTGTTTGTAACCCATTCAGAGAGACAATTGGCTCAAGGAACAGTACAGAAATGTGTATGTGTGTGTGTGTACTTTTTATTTCCATTGGGCCATGTATCACTGTAATGCTGTTTTAATATGATGTTATTCATAATTGTTGGTGAATCTTTCTTGTACACAGTATTCAATATGTTATCTGGGATCATCTTTTAAATTTCTGATTCCATTTGGCCTGATATGCATAAACACACATAAGAATGGATCTATTTCAGAGAATGATTTACTATAACCTGTTATTAGGGACCTGAACTCCAGCTTTGCCTGCAATGTATTCAATTATTGCTTTAATCATGACAAAACAGTACATATTTTAAAATATTGACAATAATAATACACTTTTATTTTGCATTGATCACAAAGTATTCATAAGACTTAATAATACCTAAAAACTGATTTGTATTTATTTCATGTTGTGGCAAACATATCTTCAGTATATTATGAAGCAGCATAAATCAAGGATGTAGTTCAACCTCTAATATTTGAACATTTTTGAAGAAAACTAAAGTGTTTATATTTTAAAGTTTCAGAATTGCAGCAAACAATATAGTTTGGTATTCTATGTTCAGGTATATGGTACAATTCAAGTTTGTAAAGGAAATTTAGGCATGATAAGAAAGTAAGCAGTGCCTGTAATTAAATTTCTCCCTGAAATGTCCTATGCTTTCAGAAAAAGAAATGTTTCCCCTCCATATCTTCCAAGTTTCCAGAAATTTTATTTTATTTCTTCAATCAAAAGCAGTATTCATCTTTAAAGAACTAGAAGTGATGAGTTATTTGTACGTGTATATGGTTATTGGAACCATGTACAATGATGCACTAAGAGAGAGAGAGATCTGCAAAGATCAAAGCAAATGCTGACTTGATGTTTCTTGGTTCTTAAATCAGACTTGCCAGGGATTAAATGCCACACTTAGATAGCCAATAAGCTGGAGGCAAAAGAATGTCTAACTGCTTCAATTGTAAGGATGGGCATACACATTAGAAAGTAAAAAGCACACTGCGTAACACTGGAAAAATATCTCAAAAACTTTTAACAATGACATACTCTCAAATCTTTTGGTTGTCTACTTTCTGTAAAAATTAAGGAAAAGAAACCCTTTCTTGCATTTTGCTCCAGTTTCACGTCACCATCAAAAACTTAATCCTCTCCAAAAAAGCAGAGTCAAAGGAAAAAGAACATGTCCCATACCTCTTTCACAACAGAACTTCCCAAGTGAACACTGAACACTTCATATATTAAAAGGCACCCTACCAGTAAATCAAATTCCATGCTCTAGATTATTTTTAAGAGAATCATAATTCTTTCAGGTAACTAAGTAGATCATATATTTGTGTCATCAGTTTTTATGCATCCAAAAGCCCAATTTACTGGTATTTTTAGGAATCCAGCTGGTAAGAAATATACATCAAATGTATATAATTGACAGCTTTGAAAAAAGACAAGTGAATTCACATGTATTGATATGTTTCTTTTATTATTTCTGTATAATTGTACCATCTGTAGTTGAAGGATTCAGGAGATGGAAGTATGAACAGGATCAGGATCAGGAAGGATAAGAGTAGACAAATGTACTCAAGATCAGAAAGGATCACACTTGAACAAGGATAATTATGGTAAAAGCCCCCTGCCACAGTGAGATATTTAAGTTTTTGTTTGTGATTAAGTGGTCAAATTCAAAGATAGAAAAGATGGAGACTTAGCCAATCCATTTATTCTGTAGGAGGACATTTTTATTTAGCTGTATTGTTTATCTTAATTAGCAAAAGAAGGTATTCCGAAGTTTGAAAACATGATCTGCACCCCTTGCAGTCACTGAGAAATTGTACAAATAAAAGCATTTTTCATAAGTGTCTTAGAATAAATTGGATTATTTAAAAAATATAGACTGAAGGAAAAACTCAAACTGGATCTGGATATTTCTCCCCTTTTCTTTGATGGGTTTCCTATTTTGGCACCAGCAATTTAAATTCTTTAACTTATTTGTTAGAGATTTCTTGCATTTCCAATTGAAATATAAAAGTTGTATTTCAGCTGACTAAAAAGTGTCTGTAATTAATTAAATGCTCCATGTACTTTATACATAGAATCTACACATGTGCATTCAAAAGGATGTACCATTAAGCTTAATGAAATACAGTTCCAAGTAAATGTACATAGAATTGCAGTTTGGGAGCAGTATCCCGTTTGACATGAGCACTAAGGTAAACTCTGTTGAACTAACTTGAGCAGCCTCTAGGCTAGGGCAACAGTTTTTCCAGGAACCTGTTGCACCAGGAAACACCACTGACATCACGGTTTCGGTCACTTATGCTAGCACTGCATTAGTGTCAAGTGGTGCACTGCCCTTGGAAACAAGGTACTTCGCTGGAAACACAAGGAAGTTACACAGATTTTTTATCACTGGAATAATGCAGATTTCTTTCACTTACCCCTTTTGAAAAGATACTTACTTTTTTCTTTTCTTTTTGGAATAAAACTTTAGGCACTTAAGGAAGTATTAATATTCATGAAAGTAAGTATCTTGTCAAATGCTGGATCTCCTCACTAGCTGTGAAGAACAAAGTGGTATATGCTTAAGATAACACTAGATCAGACCACTTGCCATGGCTGCTTTTGAAGGAAAAAGCAGATCACCAAAATGAAAGACCTTTTGTATGATAAAAACAATTTGTTTCATTATAAATTTTGATGAATTAAAACAAAGCCCCACTGTAGCTTTTCGAAACCCCATGGCAAGAGACACTCAATGATCCAGTGTGGAAAAATGGCTCCGTCAGCTTCACTGGCCTCCGTCAGCTTCACTGGCTTCCCATTGAAGTCCGGGCCCAATTCAAGGTGTTGGTGATGACCTATGAAGCCCTAAACGGCTTGGGTCCTGGCTACCAGAAGGAGCGCTTACGTCCATATACGCCCGCCCGCCCCCTGAGATCTGTGGGAGAGGCCCTTCTCCGGGAACCCTCCGTGAAGGAAATTAGGAGGATAGGTACTCGGCGGAGGGCTTTCTCTGTGGTGGCACTCAATCTATGGAATGCGCTCCCCAG